ACAACAAACACACTAATTGGCAAGTTGACACATGACTAGCTCTAGTATCTTTTATTATCCCCTTCATTCTCCGTATGCGCCGGGTTGGAATCCCATCACTATCGGACTTTCAATTCCTGCCTTATTTAATCGTCTCTTCCATTATTATTACGGGTTTTGATCTCATAAGATGCCATTCCTTCGTCGCTTATCTACATATTTCTGCAGCTGTGCGAGGAACAGTGTCATAAATTGGCGCTGCATTTGAGGAGTCATTAATTGGTGTCTTCAAAAAATAAATCATGATGAATATAAAATGACATTCAGAAGTTAGAGAAACTCGGTATCCCGTGTAATCTAAAGCATGGTAAAAAAGAAATTCATGAATTACTGTGTTTGTCTCAAGTTTACCATACCAATTTCCAATCAGCAGCCTTTGATTTGTATAACGAATCATTCCAGGCAGAACCCTCAATGTTACAGCTATATTTCGGCACAAACAGTTGCTAGAATACTGGATATTTTGCTGTTTTTCCGTTTGGTACGTGTTTCGTTGTTTTGGAAGTACATAGCAGTAAGCTAACGAACACAAGCCTTTCTCACAATTTTTTTGAATGAGTAAATTTTCAGTGTAACAGTTTGAAAAGAAAACCCCTAAAGTAACTGAACAGTGTCTTCCTGAAATGACATCACAGCAACACCCCCGGTTGTCAGGAAATTAATTGAAAACTGTAAAAGTTTAAAGATGTGCCTCTTTAAACAAATGCTTAATCAATAAGGGATGTCAAATAGTTTTCATCTATTTGAGAGTAGTAGAAAGTTGCAAAAACAGTCTCCCTATAAGAAAAATTCAATGCACGAATCCTTTAAAGCAATCCCGCAATACGTGCATGATGCACGTAGTGTGACATCACACTATCGATTTCTGAATGAACAAGCCACAATCTGGGTGAAAGGCTGAAAGCCCACAACAAACTTTCACCCACTGGCCCAGTTAACTTCCAGTTTGACCCTGGCCATGCCAAGAACGAAGCGCGTAAAGCTGGCATGAGCCTAGCTCTATGATACAAGCGTGCGTTGAAATCCGGTGTCACGGTCTCACTTCTCCGGCGTGCTAGCTTCTCCGAAAGGGAAATTTCGCTTCAACACGCATGCACAAAATTGCGCAGTGGTGTACATTTTCGTCAACTTTATATGTGTGCTGAGTTCTTCGGGGTTGTACTGGTGCACGTAATATCATAGGATATTTGTATGCATGGTTACAGGGTACCAGTCGAATCCAGAATTTTAGTGGCGCGCACAACTCCCAATAACCAAAAAAGACTTGAAATGCACATTTATTTTGAGCAACGCATGGTTGCAAAAATAAAGACAAAATGGACCACGAACGAGCAAGGAGCACGGACCAAGGAGTAATATTCCTCCATGAACACACACACACATGCATGACGCTGGGAACACAGTCAGAATGCTTGAAAGACCCATGGGGGAAGTGTTACATAACACATTCTTGGATGTCCCTCACTGTGTTATTAATAGGCTTGGTAATACAGCCCAAGGAAAAGTAAGCACAGCGGACACATCAGCATGTATCGTGCTCATGTAACGTGCACTGTAACGTGCTCAACTGTCCGCCGAATCCATCCGGAGAAGCCAGCACGCCGGAGAAGTGAGACCGCGACACCGGAATAGACTGGTTCGCTGCCAGTGCCACTGAATGAACGACTGCACTTTCATGACGTACGTACGCCGTTTCCTGTACCAGTGTTTTTCCACTGCTGTGACCAAAGCCACTTGTCTGCACGGTGACGTCTAATGGAAAAGTGGAACAGGTAACCGGGGTAGCTGAAATGGAAATCTCCCGTACATTTCGAAGCTCACAGTTCCGATGAAGTCCACTCCTGTCATTACGAACGTATTTTGGATTAGCTTTGGTGAAACTACTCCAATGTATCATGACATAATGGAAAAGGTTTGGTTTTCATCAAGAAACCGTGCCAGTCAACTGTAATTACATCCAACAATATGATCGCCGTTCAGTTACTTTGGTGAAAGTTTAGCTTTGGTGAAACTACTCCAATGTATCATGACATAATGGAAAAGGTTTGGTTTTCATCAAGAAACCGTGCCAGTCAACTGTAATTACATCCAACAATATGATCGCCGTTCAGTTACTTTCTTCGAACTTTATTACACTTTTAACAATATTTATTGTTGAAGTAATTGTTGACTTTAAACAGGCTTAAATATCACAGTTTCAGTGAATTTTTGTACGTGTACATTAGTAACATTTTTCCAGGGAATGGACATTGTTGGAATATTTTGCAGTTGTATGAACCGTAAGCTGAACATATAGATTTTCCATTGTAACAAATACATTGGCAAGTTCGCTTCCCGTATGTATTTGTAACGCCTTCGTCCTCTATGTGCGGGATTGGAATCCCGTATTGGGCTTTCAATTCCTGCCACATTTCTTCAGTGGCTTCTAGAGTATTTTAGTAATCACGGATTTAGTCTCGTAAAGCCCGCCGCACACGAGAGCTACGTGCTCAGCAAGAAGTCATTCGAGGCCGTTTGCTCAGCACGTAGCTCACAAAATATTCCCGTGTGCGGTGACTTTTGTTGTTGTTGAGTGTTCTGCCTCGCGAGGCCGTGAGGAAATATCTATTTTGATTGATTTCTTTCGACTCGCGAGGCGAAAAACTCAACGTATGGGGTCAAGGAGGGAGTGTTGAGCTAAAAAGACTAACTAGCCAATGACAACACGTACTCTGTACAAGTGATTTAAAGATATTTTGGCAAATCTTCTAACGCCTGCTTAGTGCTATAGCTAGCCAGTGGCGTAGCCATGGGGGAGGGGGGGGGGGCGTGGGGGGCGACAGCTTGTCGCCTTGTCGCCCCCCTGTCGCCCCCCTCCCCACTGAGATTTTGAGTTTCTAAAAAAATTATCATTGATCTACATGACGCCCCCCCCCCCATGAAATGTTCCAGCTCCCCCAGCGCCCCCCCCCCCCCGAAAAATTCCTGGCTACGCCACTGGCTATAGCTGGCGGTTGTCCCCATTTTTTTAAATCACGCGACCGACAAACAAGAATAATGGCCTTTCATTGGCAAGTTAATCTTTTTAGCTCAGCACTAAACCGCACACGGTGAGTTTTTTCGCCTCGCGAGTCGAAAGAAATCAGTCAGGATAGATATTTGCCTCACGGCCTGTGTGGCAGAAAAGTCATTGCACACCATGGGGATATTTGTGAGCTACAGGGTGAGTCAAAAAAAAAAGCGGAACCCGAACCCCCGAAAATATATTACATATTTAAAAAAAAAAATGTAGCACCTTTTATAACAATGACTGGAAAGCCAGTTTCACAAACTACTTTTAGATGAAAAAATTACTGAAATTGCTTAATCCGTTCAAAGAATATCATTATTTAAACGCAATGACCCTAAAACCTGTTTCGTAAAAAAAAGCAATTTATTGTGTATTCTTACTGTTTGGAACAACAAAGAAAATAACACAGAATACTTGTTTCAACAACTGTCAACAACTGTAGTACACAATAACTTTATTAACTACCCTGGTTAGGCAAACAATATACTTTTTTTAACTGGTGATGTTTGAAGACAATTGTGACGGCGATTCTTGAAATCGCATTTTCAAAAGGACTTAGTTGAAATTTTTTACTTTTAAACTGAGGTTTATCACTGGTGATGTTTGAAGACAATAGTGACGACGATTCTTGAAATCGCATTTTTGGACGAAAGAGGTTTTAGGGTCATTGTGTTTAAATGGTGATATTCTTTAAACGGATTGAGCAATCTCAGTACTTTTTTCCATCTAAAAGTAGCTTATGAAATTGGCTTTCCAGTCATTATTATTTTGGTGCTACATATTTTTTTAAAATATGAAACATAATGTTTGGGGTTTGGGTTCCGCTTTTTTAAATCACCCTGTACGTGCTGAGCAAACGGCCTCGAATGACTGTTTGCTTAGCACGTTGCAGGCTTTCATTCCTTCGTTGTTTCCGCTCTTTTCCTCAGCTGTGCGAGGAACAGTGTCATTGGCGCTGCATTTGAGCACTGACCATTCACGTATGGTCCGTGATTTGAGGAACATTGGTATCGTCAAAAATGATGGATCATCGATGGCTTGCGAGGGAGATGCCCAACGATTTTATATACAGAAGATTAAAGACAAAAAAGGGGTCTCCACTCCTCCGATTAATAAAAAAAGTGGTGGGGGCATGGCCCTAATCCCCCCTCCCGGATCAGCCAATGTGCTCCTTTGGTTTTCGTTAATTTCATTTCTTTACAAACTATTCTGTCAAACTTTTCAGGTTACAATTAGTACAGTTAAGACATGTTATCCGAATCGCCACAAAATATTCCAGACTATCCAATCCGTATTAAAAGGTTATTTTAAACTTATTTGTCCAAAATACTGCAAGTTTTGTGTTCATCATTGAATTTTGTCCAATATATCACAGATTACACCGGATCACATACATTGCAGCGAAGTTAATTAGGATAGGGAAATGGATCCGAGCGGTGTCCATCAAGTGCGCCCTCTTGCTTTCGATCGGGCATTTTGCTATCTAGAGTCTATCTAAAACGGTGACAGAAAAGTTGATTTGTTGTGCATGTTAAAATCGATTTTCGTTGCTGAATTCGTCAAATAATGTTAAAGAAAGAAACTTTTAAGTCGACTAAAACAATGATCACGTTAATTTAAAGGTGGAAAGGGGAACCGTCAAAAATATATGTAAACTATCTTTGTATGAAATTAAATAGACTTTACGCATAGAGATTTATGTAATAACTAAAAAATGTTTTATTGTGGTTGAAGCGAGTTTTGAGCAACGAATAACCTAGAACTTGGTAGTTAAACTCGATGCCTGTTACTGTTCACCACTTCTAGAACCAATACATGTACAGTTGCACGCACGACGTGTGTGGACTTTGTGGACTTTGTTTACGAAACTATAGACCGTTGGCAAGGCGCTGAATGGCATAGGCTGTTTTCCTTTTATCTCGGGATTAGGGTTACACGCAACAAGGTGTGGAGTATGTTTGCTAGCTCCGATAGTAATGATCACTGCAGTGATGATCCATGCATAGGGTCATGTATTGCAGTCGAATAACTATGCACTGTGACCTTCGTTTCGGTAAAAGATTCTCAGAGATTCCTTGACTGGCATTGCCTAAAATACGAGACACACAGAGGACAGAGGATGTTTACGAAGGAGCTCGAATCTTTGAGATGCTTCGGAAAGATTTAGACTGCCAAGAAACTGCCAGATCTGTCCCGTTTCTGAACCAGGAAATTTGACTGGACTCTTGGACGTATGCATTGATTTCATGAGTCAATCGTCACCACCACCAGTGTAAAGTATCTGATGACTTTATGAACCCATTATACGATGATAATGTATAAACCTTCAAGGCAGCTCCAGAAATACACATCGGAGGTGGAAACAAGTGGACTGTTTTTTGTCATCAGTGTCACCTTTACAGACTCGTTGTCCTCTGGATAGAGAATTAAAGGTGTCTCACAGTCGGAACATTAATTAAATTGAAATTCTTAGGTTTATCTGTGCAAGTCTGATTGAACAGCATCATCCAGCTTTTAAAGTGAGCAGTCATGAACGACACTGACAACTCAACAGCTGTGACGGACTACTTCACCGACTATGGCACTTCGTCGCCAGTTATGGACTACGACAATGTCACGAGCTACAATGACACCAGCTCCAATGACACAACTACCAATGCGCCTACAACTGACTCCTCCGCTGCTCTCAATGTAGGGCTGGGAAGCTTGTCGAGTATCATCACAGTGACTACCCTTGTGGCCAATTCCTTAGTGGTGGCCCTGTTTGCCCGCTTCCCTAGCTTAAGGAGTCCCGGTCCTGCTTATCTCATACTGAACATCACCATAGCAAACTTGATCGTGGCTGTGACTGCCTTGATCCCCAACACGGTAGCTTTCTTCACAGGTGGATGGCTCTTGAGCGACCCCGTGTGCCAACTCAGCGCATATCTCTCCTGTTTCGCCTTTCACCTGACCGTCCACACACTTGGTGTAACCTTCTTTGAGAGATACCTCAAGGTCTGCCGGCCCTTGAAGCACCTCGAGATCTTTACTCCGACTGTGACTCTAATTCTGATCGGTGGACTGTGGTTCTTTGCCGTCGTGTTGTCTCTCTTCCCTTTAGTGGGGTGGGGTGAGTACGCCTATCTACCAATTCAACGCCAATGTTGGATCAGTGCCGCTGGATGGCAAGGACACCTGACACACATGGGCTTCACCTTGGTCATGACGTTACTCCTTCCCTTCCTGACTTCCATCGTTTTTCTGATTGCCGTGGTGAGGTTCGCTGCTAAGCAACGTAAAGTCAGCGCACTTGATGTGCTTGGAGACCAAGAGAAATCGGGCATCCAGGAGACGTATGGACGGAAAATGAAGAGAAAGGAACGAGAACTGAAACGTGCCATCAGAGAAAGGAAACTGAAGAAAGTGAAGAAAAAGAAAAAGAAGGTTAAAAAGGGCAAGAAGAGCAAAAAAGACAACAAAGATAAACAATCATCGTCTTCGTCTTCATCGTCTTCTTCATCATCATCGTCTTCGTCTTCATCATCATCATCTTCTTCGGATGAAGACGAGCGTCCTTCTTACACGAAGTACAAAGAAGCAAAGAAGAAGCAGAAAGTTGAGCGATATCGGGCAAACGAAGCCGCCTTGGTCCGTACTCTGTCCTGGATCTTGCTGCTTCTTTTCATAGCCTGGGTTCCTTACATGGTCGCTAAATGTTTGGAGACTCTAGAGCCGACAAATGACATTTCCCCACCAGACGAGTTGTTGATTGTTGCAGCTTTCTTGACGTATGCTACATACGCACTCACTCCCATCATACTGCTAGTGGACTACAGAAAATACCGCAAGACACTTCCAGCCCTCTTTTCCGGCAAGAAGTTAAAAGTGGAGGAGGACCACGCCCCTAATGTGGGACTCGATGTTGAAGGGGGCGAGATGGACTCTGGTATAGAACTGGCAAATGCCAGAAATTTAGCGGAGGGGTCCAAAACTAGCGTCAAATCAAATTAGTGGCAAATCAAAATAAGTAAGATATGGGGAGGTTGAGGGCGCGATACAAAGATTGATTACTGCTGATACCCTTACCTCAAATGCTTAGTACTCTCCAAAGTGTCCAAGACTTTTTGAGCAATTCTTATTTCTTCAAAGATCGATCATCCCTAAAAGTATTCCTGAAGCCCATCGCTATTTTGAAAAAGGATCCCTCCACCCAAATGCAAATTAAGGGACACTTTCGGGTCCTGGTTTATCGAAGATTTCCCCAAAAAATCCAATTCTGGTTCGAAGCTAGGACACTTGCTAGAAATCCTCATTATGTAGATGCAAGGGGCTCAAAACAAAATATGAATACATTGTAGATATGAACATAAACCTTTATTTGGTCAGCGTACATTTGAGGCCCATAGCAATGCTTGCAAGCTTCATGGACTTACAGTTGACTACAACAACTTGCTAATGTGTACAGTTTCTCATGGTTTTGACTTTGTTTAGAAATGTATGGTTTCTGCTTATCAAGCCGCAAAATTAGATGTTCCTGCAGAAAGGAAAATTCATTTAAAGATATTAATGGCACTCGTTTAATAAACGATGTGTCACTGATGGGCCGTGAAACCTTACGATTGTCATTTTAACATGTTATCTTTTATTCAATATTATGATGAGCTGCAGATAGACGAATTATGCCCGGTCTTTTCATGAGGTATAGACAAAGTTCTTGGACATTACCTTATGCACAAAATATACACTCCATTGGGAAGGGAAATTCATTAATGCGGTTCAGTTTTGTTTACATTTTATTCGGGACATTTTAGCCCAAGTTTTATTTAAAAGATTTAAAGTTTCCTTAATTACTTTATTATAGTTTTACTCAGAAACAACAATATACGTTGTACACGTACAAAGATTGAAGTAAAGACCGTCCGTGTAAGATGTCGAGAAAAATATGAAATTCCACCTACCAGTGTCAAAATATACACTCCATTGGGAAGGGAAATTCATTAATGCGGTTCAGTTTTGTTTACATTTTATTCGGGACATTTTAGCCCAAGTTTTATTTAAAAGATTTAAAGTTTCCTTAATTACTTTATTATAGTTTTACTCAGAAACAACAATATACGTTGTACACGTACAAAGATTGAAGTAAAGACCGTCCGTGTAAGATGTCGAGAAAAATATGAAATTCCACCTACCAGTGTCAAAATATACACTCCATTGGGAAGGGAAATTCATTAATGCGGTTCAGTTTTGTTTACATTTTATTCGGGACATTTTAGCCCAAGTTTTATTTAAAAGATTTAAAGTTTCCTTAATTACTTTATTATAGTTTTACTCAGAAACAACAATATACGTTGTACACGTACAAAGATTGAAGTAAAGACCGTCCGTGTAAGATGTCGAGAAAAATATGAAATTCCACCTACCAGTGTCATAGATTTCAAAAATATTGTTATATTATTTTTCTTCCGTTATATTCGGATAATATCCTCCCTCAGCATATCATCTGTGTTAATGAAAATCTGCATTTTGATTTCAATTAAGCGGAAGAATTATTTTAGTTCACTGCAAAATTTGAGGGCGTCTCCAGTTTCCTTTTTTTCCCCTGGGTTGAGCCGTAGGATCATTCCCCAGCTTTTTGTACAGACTCAAAATTCCGCTGTCCACCAGTCTACATGATCACACAATGAATACATGTAAAATCTAAGCAGTAGTAAACAGGGGGACAAAAGAAGGGACTAGACCATGTTTACGAAAGCGCTTGTATTATAATGTCGGCTTTTTACGAAGCCTTATTGAAGAATTTCGAGATCAAACTAAAAGACAATTCATATCAGAATTGCGGCCAACACAAAGTACAAAACTCAGTTTTAAATAAGGGGCTATAATAATAGAGTGATGGATGAGAAGTAGAATATCCAGGTTTGAGGTCCGGGGGAGGCAAAACTTATCATTTTTTTTATGTTTCACATCAACACCCTGCCTAATGAGCCTATACATCAGTTATCTAACATTGTGCGCTGGTCTTTACTCAGGCGGCCGAAGGACCATCTGCTTGTCTGTTTTCCTGTTCAAGCAGATGGTCACTTTATTTTCGCCGCTGCAAAATCTGCTTTTTGGGTTATAGCAGAAAAGCAGAAAACAGACGAGTCGAAAACATTTGATTTGATGATCCTCGAGCAAGAGAAGAGCAGATGTCCACTTTTCGTCCGCCAGGAGGAAAAGTAAAATGTGCTTTCGGGGAGCAAAATTTCAGGGGGAAACACAGAACAGTAGGTTTGATTAACAAATAAATTCTGCTTTTCTGGTAGCAAAAATGTTCAGTCTGCTGTTTTGCTATTCTGACAGCAAAAAGGCAGATGGCAACTTTTCGTCCTTAATACGGGGAGGCAGCCTCGCCGCCTGTCGCCTGCTTCGCAAGCGAGACTCTCGCATATACTGTATACTTTTACTTCTCAATACGGCTCTGAATGTGATGATAGTTTTTAGGATAAATATTCGTATCCAATGCCCCCAAGGGAGAAAAACCACCGAAGACTGGCCTGACTACATGGGCATGTTTTCCCGGTAAATAACAATAAAAACAAGTTATATTAAAATAAGAAAAAATAGTGTTTATTTCATGAAGTTTTGCCTGCTCCCGCCATTTTCGCACACACTATAATCGCAGTCACATCCTTAATAAAACTATATGTACTATTGTCTGAAAATTTGGAAATAGAATTGAGAGTTTCATTCATGGGCCCTTGATTTGAACATTCTGTCAACAGCTGCGTAAAATTACATAGACTGTACTGTTTAAGTGTGGAGCTTTGGCTGTATAAACTCTTTGTGATTTGGTATTAATTTTAAGAAAAGAAGTGAGTTTTAAAAATATTATAGAGACATTTTAATCAAAGTTAACAATGGCACAGTGAATATAATGACTTCATGGATTTGGGGTTTGTATGAAGCGCTTTTGGTGGTGTCTGTTCATAAGGTTTTTGGCAACAAAAATCGCCGCTTTATATCAACATTGCAAAATCATGGCTAAAATGGCTCGTAAAATCACGTAACTCCACAATGTCTGTATATGTCTCTGTAATAATATTAAAACTTGGTACTTTTCTAATAATTAATACCAAATCACATCATTGAGTTTTTAAGCCAAAGTTAAACGTAGAGGGCGCCCTTTCGTAAACAAGGTTGGATTTTTTTCCTCCACATGCCAGTGTTAATTCCCATTGATGAAAGCGGTCGTAGTTTGGTAATCAAAATGTCATCTGAAGGTATTTCTGAGCTCATAATTAATTTTCTTCTTGGGTTAAAATGATGTGAGAGTGAAAATCATGTGACAGTGTGTAAGACTAAAAATGAACCTATTCGTAGAGAAATAAATAGGCAAACCAGGAATGCGCAGCAAGCAAGCAAGTTGTATCCGGGTGATACGTGATTGGACCGCGGGTCAGTTCGCTCGCGTGTTGACCCATGTTCCCGAACCCGGATATGGTGGCGATGCCGGTTTAACCTACCATGCCCACTCCTAGATAGTTCTAGAGTAGGTTTAACCGTCTCAGTTTTATATCGAGTGTGCTGCTGCTGGTCATTTGGGTAATTCAGTGGATTCAAGCACAATGTTCATGGCATTAACCCCATACATTTGGCTCAAAAATACCGGATTTCCTCGTATTGTTGATGTACCGTAACGTGGCGCGGCCCCCAACGCGGCGCACTTTGATTTTTCGCCTGTAGCGCCTACCTATACTAGAGCAAAAGTTTTATCTGAAATTTCACAGAAAGTGAAATTTCATCAAGTTCTAAACACTCCTGTTCATAAATCGCGAGTTTATTTACCCGTAATGAAGTTAGAAGAACAATTTATTTTGGCGTGATTTTCCGATTTTATTTTCAAGTGCAAAGTGAACCCTTTGAAAATGCCACAAAAATTATAAAAATAATTTTCTGACAAATATCTGGCTGGGTATGTAAGTAGAGATAATAATTATCAAGTTTGCAGAAATTCTTAAATGTTAATTTGGAATTTTCCGAGATTTATTCAAGTGCGCCACGTTAGGGAACACTCCGCCAATTTGTGCCCAATTTCCGGATGCCACCGTTTTTGAATTTCAGATTAAATTGTATGAAACCGAAATTGTTCACAGAGGTTATAGTGCAAGCATTAATAAGGTAAAAGTACTAGTATTTTAATGCATGAATTTGAGGTTTGTCAACAAAGGTTTGGCAACACTACACGAGGAAAGTCGGGTAAGCTTCGAAGTGCGCCACGTTAGGAAACACAACTATAGTTCATCATACAACATGCACTAAAAATTATAGTCCCATAAATGTGACGGTAATACTGGACTACCTCCGTAGGTTAATACGGAGGTAGTCCAGTAATACCGTCACATTTATGGGACTATAAAAATTACTGCAAAATGGCCATCGAGTATCGTTACGACAGCCATAACACAATCTTTAAGTGCTATCGTTGTGGCATTGCAAAGCACGTACCATGCAAATCTAACAAAATTTATAACTGCCCTTTCAAGCAAAGCGCTTTGGCAGTGCGATTGGTCATGTTGGTTTTAGGTCCTGGGATCAAATCCCCGCTATATAGTTTCATTTACTTTTATGTTTTTAATCAAATCCCACTTTATATTAAAGTAAATTTCATTTTCTTCTTCGTAATCCGTGGCTTTGGAATTGGATGATCTTTTGTTAAAAATGGGAAGTAAAGTCCGAGAACCATTCGGTTGATAGTCTGGTTCCAAGAAACACTGATCCTGACGCTGAATATTGTCAGATCAGGGAACCAGATGGTCGACTGCCGTAGCGATAGCCACTGCGTTCCTTAAAAGTTGTTTCCTGAACTTGAAATCTAAACTTTTTTTCACCTGATAATCACCACCATTGGAAGATACTTACCTTGTTAATAACCAGGACAAAATTGAGTTCTGTACCTCAACATGTCTAAATATTCTGCAATATTTGGGTAAAATTAGCAGAGAGTTTGTCCAAATTGACTGCAGTATTTTTCTCGAGGTCTTGGGTCATGCAGCTTTTGACCTGATTTGTCCTGGTTGTCCATGCACAGACAGCACATGCTCAGTTATCCACTGGGCTGGACTAAAGGGTGGAGAGGGCGGATTAGGGATGTCAGAAATATGCCTTCTGTATCCTTCTGTTGCTTTTGTGTCCAAATTAAAGGAGCCTTCTACTAGATTTTGAACTTGCGTACATAGCTAAAATTGTACTGGAAAGTGGAAACAAATAAAAAGACAAATAGATTGTTCATAGATGCGATGTGAAACTCGGGGATTTGGAAATAAAAACGAGGCCGGCAGCAAAAAGGAAGCAGGCGGGGACGAAAAACTGGTGTATTTTTTTTCCTGGCCCAAGCTACATTGATGTAGAGCAAGTGTATTCTATACTACATTGTAAACTGACATTTATGATTGATATATTGATGTGAATTTCAGGATCAAAGGATCAAGCTAGTGGTTCTGATGGAAGTGGAGGGGGAGGAGCTAGCAAAGGAAAGGTGGGAGGCTCCTCTAGTGATGGGGAACAGCAACACTCAGGCTTCAACCCAAGTATGTGTCGATGTGTTTGATACGATGAAAATATAAAATCCTTGACAAATATCGTGGTTTCTGTAAAGTGAAGGTTAATGGATTTAGATGATACATTATTAGCTCCTTCAGTATGGAATCATACAATCTTAATTTGGCATACAAAAGCAATGTGCTTCGATGTTCCAGCTGATATATCCACTCACCGTAGTAAGCTGTAGGCCATATAGTTTCATCTAAGTAAGCTTGAGAATTTTTCTTCTACGTTCTTGAACAGTTAAGACGAATGGTTTGCATGGTTTAATCCACGAAGGGGAACCAATATGAGAATGACCATGAGGGTCACATATTTCTGATTGTATCTTGTGCTTACCCTTTACAGTGGAGACTTTGGAGCAGCTGATGCGTCTACTTCGTCCCTGGCAACAAGCAGATGAAGATGAAGAGGCGGCAGCTAAGCCAGAACAGCTCCTTGAAGATGTCACACTAGAGGGTGTGGTCAAATACATGCAGAGTAATAAATGTGAGTTGACTGGGGAGGGTGTGGTCAAATACATGCAGAGTGATAAATGTGAGTTGACTGCGGAGGGTGTGGTCAAATACATGCAGAGTGATAAATGTGAATTGACTGGGGAGGGTGTGGTCAAATACATGCAGAATGATAAATGTGAGTTGACTGCGGAGGGTGTGGTCAAATACATGCACAGTGATAAATGTGAGTTGACTGGGGAGGGTGTGGTCAAATACATGCAGAGTGATAAATGTGAGTTGACTGCGGAGGGTGTGGTCAAATACATGCAGAATGATAAATGTGAGTTGACTGGGGAGGGTGTGGTCAAATACATGCACAGTGATAAATGTGAGTTGACTGGGGAGGGTGTGGTCAAATACATGCAGAGTGATAAATGTGAGTTGACTGCGGAGGGTGTGGTCAAATACATGCAGAATGATAAATGTGAGTTGACTGCGGAGGGTGTGGTCAAATACATGCATAGTGATAAATGTGAGTTGATTGTGGAGGGTGTGGTCAAATACATGCAGAGTGATAAATGTGAGTTGACTGGGGAGGGTGTGGTCAAATACATGCAGAGTGATAAATGTGAGTTGACTGGGGAGGGTGTGGTCAAATACATGCAGAGTGATAAATGTGAGTTGACTAGGGAGGGTGTGGTCAAATACATGCAGAGTGATAAATGTGAGTTGATTGTGGAGGGTGTGGTCAAATACATGCAGAGTGATAAATGTGAGTTGACTGCGGAGGGTGTGGTCAAATACATGCAGAGTGATAAATGTGAGTTGACTGCGGAGGGTGTGGTCAAATACATGCAGAGTGATAAATGTGAGTTGACTGGGAGGGTGTGGTCAATTATGCAGAGTGATGAGTTGACTGGGGAGGGTGTGGTCAATTATGCAGAGTGATAAATGTGAGTTGATTGGGGAGGGTGTGGTCAATTATGCAGAGTGATAAGTGTGAATCGACTGGGAGGGTGTGGTCAAATACGTGCAGAGTGATGAGTTGACTGGGGAAGGTGTGGTCAACTACATGAGGAGTGATAAATGTGAGTTGACTAGGGAGGGTGTGGTCAAATACATGCAGAGTGATAAGTGTGAATCGACTGGGAGGGTGTGGTCAAATACGTGCAGAGTGATGAGTTGACTGGGGAGGGTGTGGTCAAATACATGCAGAGTGATAAATGTAAGTTGATTTGGGAAGGGCCTGGTCGATTATGCTGATTGCTGATGGTAACAGTGAATTATATGAATCTCTCATATTTTTTGCTTTTACAGTATTAGAGATTTTCATGAGACATTGTAAGTGATTACATAATTGTAACTGTTCTGACTTTCAGGCAAGAACATCATCGTGATGACAGGGGCAGGCATCTCAACATGTGAGTGTCTTTGTCATTTTGAATCAAAGTAAGTTTAGACCAATGTGTACTTCATGATGGGTATAGGAAGTCAAAGTTATTGTGACATTTGGAGTTTTTTCCAATTTGCAGTGGAACAACTTGCAATGTCGTCACAAGTTTGCATTTGTGATGATATGTCTTCCACATCCTGTAAAAACCACTAAAAGTGATGGCGAATTTAAAAGTGTAGAGGGTTAGGATAGGGTTGTAAAGGAAAACATGCATCAAAATAATTAATTTTTGGCAACAAACTGGATCAAATTCATTTAATGTCGTCCTTAATTTTATTTATTCAAATGAACATCAAAGGGAAACCGACAGGTCAGTGAATTATAACAATTGAAAAGTTGAACAAAGAAATTGACATGAGTGGGGCTTGAACCTGCTACCTCCGGATAACCATTTCGGTGCTCTACCAACTGAGCTATCCAGTCCTATGTTGGTGGTTCCCCAATGACTAACATAGGGTGGATAGCTCAGTTGGTAGAGCACCGGAACCATTATCCGGTGGTCGCAGGTTCAAGCCCCACTCCTGTCAATTTCTTTGTTCAACTTTTCTACCTTCATTTTGGTTGTTGTGTAATTATTGCCCATTTTCCAGCAACTAAATAAAGTGCCATTGTACTTGGCCTTTTTTCTTTGCTTTACACTAGCGGCCGGTATTCCAGACTTTAGATCTCCAGGGACAGGTCTCTATGACAACTTGGAAAAATACAACCTACCAGAGCCCATGGCAATATTTGATATTCACTACTTCATGGTAAGTGATGGCTATGGTGCATTACCATGGGAGTGTTGTTGGTTTCTTTTAATGATATCATTTATGTCTAAATGATCTTGGTTGCTCTGGAACACTTGGAAAATATCACATTTCAGTTCCGCTCAGGCTTGTACTTCATATAAAATTCGCCTTTTTTATGTTACTGGACTGTATTGTGCAGGACCGGTGTTTTACAAGTACAAAAACGTAGTTGCAGTATGTCTTTAAAACTTTCTTTGAAAAGGTCAAGGTCAAAAATCCATGTGTCTGTTTTCGATGTACGTATTGCGATATGAGTTTACTAGTTGAGTATCCGTGATGCACACTCTGTAAATCCATGTGTATGTATTTCTCTGAACACTTGACAGATGTAAAAGCTCAAACAGAGAGCACGCAGTAGCTTTTTAGAGTAGAAAAATCAACTCTCAATTGAATTTGGATAAGCTTTGGTAAATTATACATTTGACAAAATAAACATTGACAAGATTTAAATTCTCAATAAGAATTTAACTTCTCTATAAAAAAAAGAAAAAGGCACAAACATACTTTTGAATTCAAATTGAGAATATACAGCTTTGTAAAGTTTATATTTTTTGTGCTTATTATTCTTGATAGGAGAGGCCGGAACCATTCTTTTATCTGGCCAAGGAGCTGTATCCTGGCAAATTCAGACCAACTCCATCTCATTATTTCATCAGACTTCTCGCTGACAAGAAGATACTTCTCAGGAATTACACACAGGTATCTGTCTTTTAATGGGACTTTGTTTCAACAAATTGTTACATATTTTTTAAATATTTTTTTTCGTAATAAAAAGCGGTGTCCTCTATGTGTGATCCCTTTGCTTTTTCCGGGGTTTGCAGCTTTGCTTATGTTGCTAGCATCATGACTTTGGGCGTGATCCCTGGCTACATGGAGTATACAGGTTTGTGGCTTCTGACTAGCGCCCCTTGAACAAAGACATTGACAAATGGGGATCCGCCAACATAGGGCTGGATAGCTCAGTCGGTAGAGCACCGGAACGGCAATCCAGAGGTTGCAGGTTCAAATCCTGCTCCAGTCAATTTCCTTTGTTCAAGTTTAAAATCAAAATCAAAATATGTATTGTGTAAAGTGGTGTTGTCTGTGCTATTCAACAAATTTCAAGTTGTTTATAATTATGCATTTTTTACTGCTTTATATTAACCAAACAACCCCCTCATTCCTGCGTAGAACATAGACACCTTGGAGAGAATCGCCGGTGTGCCTGGTGACTTGATGGTGGAGGCACATGGAACATTCCATACAGGACACTGCATTGGGAAGTGTGGCAAAGAATATACGCAACAATGGATGAAAGGTGGGTTGCACACAGTCTCTAACAATTAACAATTTTACTGCTTTTGTTTGTATGTCTTTGCAGAGTTTAAATGTTTAGAGATATGTAACGAGGAAAAGTGCTGCAAATTGTTCTTTTTCTTAGGGGTTGACATCTGTATCATTATTCTCTTTGTCGGCATTTATAGAGCCAAAGTCGGCAAATGAACTACCATGGGCGTTTCTAGAGGAGTGGGCCAAAGGGGGGGGGGTTTGATGTCACACCCCCATGAATTGTTGTCAGTAGAATTAATGTCCTGCATCAGCAAAATTGTGTGTCCGTATTATGCTGCAACAAAAAGCATCACCTATTGTCTGATAGTGTCCAAGATCATCTACTTTTGAACAGCGCCTCCATTAGTTAGATGTGTCTACTGTCCAGCCCCTCCCACCTTTCTCCTCCCACGCCCCTTTCTCTCCCCATTTCCCTCGTCCGTTTTCCCTGCATTAGTCTGCAAAGCATCATTTGATGATGTGCCAGTGTACTCCAGAGGAGGTTTCTGCACACTATAGGAGGAGGATGGATTTGGCAATAGATGATTATGTCTCAAACAGTTTGAGCCAGGACTGACCGAACTGAGCTTGATTGACTTACAATTCCTTTTGGACTCATGGAACAGGCGATGCTGACTTGGAAAAATTGACTGGACGGCAAAAGTGAGGCAGTTGAAGTCATGACATCAACACAAAAGCTTCATGCAAACTCATTCACACTTGTGTTTAGTCTTGTGACGTAAGTGATGTGGATTTTCTGACCGTGCTTACAGTCATTTCATTCCTCCTTTTGTTATAGATGAGATATTTGCAGACAGACTCCCCAAGTGCACTGAATGTGAGGGATTAGTCAAGCCTGATATAGTCTTTTTTGGAGAGAGTTTGCCGATGAGGTTTTCCAAACTCGTCATGGAGGTAGGAATTTCAAAAACAGACCTTCTATAATTCTGATTTCAAAGCTCAGAAGGCCGTAGAATTTTAAAAACTAATGGAATACTGGTTCAGCTATTGACTTTTGTGCTTGCAATAAAGAGAACTGAGCTTATGCCTAAACACAGTCCAAATGATTAAACTAGAGAAGCATAAAACCTGAACTGCAGCCCAAGTGCGAAAATGTTTCCCTACACCAGCAAGCAGAAGGCATGCCGGTAGATTATTGCAAATTTCTGTATTTGAGGCATGGAAGTTAACGCTGATGGTAAAATGTGACATTCTCCTTAGTGTGTTTCTTAACCCTAACCCCCTAGGCCCTTGTTGCTTACAACCATCCTCAATCCTCCAAAATCCTCCAAAATTTTTCAACTCCGCCTAAATTTTTCAAAATTGTCAGACAGTCCTGCCTCAAAATGCATTCATCCTCAATCCTCCAAAATCCTCCTCATCCCAAAACTTTGCACTCGTGTTTAAATGAAGGATAACCAACGCCAAATCCTTCAAAATCATCAGACAGTCCTGCCTCAAAATGCATTCATCCTCAATCCTCCAAAATCCTCTTGTGCTTCATTCACCATTCATCCTCAATCCTCCAAAATCCTCATGTGCTTCAATCACCATTCATCCTCAATCCTCCAGAATCCTCATTTGATTCAATCACCATTCATCCTCAATCCTCTAGAATCCTCCAAAACCGCCAGGAGGATTTTGGAGGAGTGAGGTGGGTTAGGGTTTTAAGGGACATTTCCTCAATCAGCTGATTTCCTCTTCATTTAATTCCTATGTCTGCCATTAAAAGTTGACAAACAATGTTCAAAGGGTTCTGAAGTTTTGGAATTTCTTCTTTTTTTGTGTGTGTGACTTTACACTTGCATGCCTGTTTCACGTGTAAATTGGCCTTTAGGGTTAGACAATGGAAAATAATTTACTTTAAAATGTATTATTTTAAACAATTTATTTTTGCTTCATACTTGCTTTAATTAGTTCAACTAGAGACATATCATGCGATTCAGAATTGAGTTTTCCTGACAAGAAAACTCATCACATCAAAGAAAAAAAATAAACTCATAAATGTTAATGACCCTTTCTCACTGCAGGATTTTCCCAAGTGTGATCTGCTGATTGTCATGGGAACCTCATTAGTCGTGCATCCCTTCGCTTCGTTGATTGAAAGGTAAAATGAAAATAAAGGAATTTGTACACGTGTAGAATTTGGCTCAAGTCTAAAGCCTTTTCACACTGACCCGTATTGAACACGGGTAAACAAAGCATACCGTTTATACTTACACACAAGGGTCAGCTGTAGATTTGAGATTTTCTACGCAGGTAGAGCCTCTCATCCCTGGTCCTGACCAGGGTGGATTGTGCCTTTATAGAGTGCTGGACCCGTGTCAAAGCCATGTTGGAGTCTTGCTCTCAAAGGGGTTCCTGAAATCTCCATGTTGGACCCGGGTCCAACACATCAATGTGAAAGGCCCTTAGAAAGCTTTGATGTCGTGCTTGATGGATATTTGTTACTGGGAGATGTATAATGACTGATGATGATGATGTTGTATGCTATGGCAATCTCGTTGTATTGTTCGTAAGCCAGTGTCTCGCTGGGTCCTCGGCCAATGAAGGGCTGCGATGCCACCAGTAAGGCGAGAGAGTGGGCAGTCATTGATCATATGGCGCATCGTCTGGGGTTCGCCACAGTCACAAAGCGGATATGAGATGTAACCCCACTTATATAGGCTGCTGCGGCATGGCCCTGTGTCAGTTAGGCACCGGTTCAGGAGACACCATTGACCGCGGGGAAGGTCCATTCCCCGTAGCTGGATGGTGGATCGGTGACCAGGAACTTGTTTTGGACGTCAGTGTGGTCTCACCATCGGATGCGTAATGGGTCTTCTGCAGTCACTGTGCTGTCCGGGACATTGGACCATATTGGCTTTCTAGACTTGAGTCTAGGCCTTGGGTGGAAGTCCAGGTCACTGAGGAGAGGGAGTTCAGGGTTGGATCTGGTCTTGTGGAGCAGCCATGATGTAGCAACCTCTCTTCGGATGTCTGGAGGGGCGATGTTGAATAATGACATAGTTGATAAGCCTGTGAGGAATTAATGAGTCAGAGGTTTTATTTGCCATCTGTCAGCAATCCTTTTTTAAGCATACTCAGAACAATGTTGGTCTTCTGGTTACAAAATTTGAATCAACCTATCATCAACATCATCTGTCATCCTTAGACGGAATGGCAGTAGCAGCATTGACACAGTTGTGTCAAGTAGCCTTATTCTTCATGAGCTGCTAGATTTCAATCATGTTAAGAGCATTGTCATTGAAGATGGTGTCAGGGTAGCAAAGTTGTCTACCATGATTTGGGTGCCCTTCAGGCGGTGACTACGGGATATTTGCTGATCTGTAGTTCTTACACAATGACTGTTCCGTGAGGTCTTTTAAAAATTTCAACCCAGTAGTGACAGTATGCTGAAGGTATATTGATAGTGTGTATTTCCTTTATTGGCATTATATTATTACTAAGGCCATTGTGCTTTTATGTTTGTTTTTTTCTTTAAGGGTTCCAGTCACAACTCCTAGATTACTGATCAACAAGGAAAAGGCCGGGGAGGTATGTATCAAGGCCATTATTTCTGAACGAACTTGACGTCCAAACTACTTGCCTTCTAAAATGCTGAGTATTTAGATCCTTTGCATTGCGTCCATGTTTGAGGTGTGCGCTTTTGTTCAACAGGGATACGCATGAGTGAGCTTCTTATAGACTTGTACATTCATTGTTAATGAATTAATTTAAAACAAAAAAATACCCCCAAAATGGCTGTTAAGTGCAAAGGCTCTATACCTCATGTCAAAATTTGAATACTGTGAATTAAGATTCACGAAAGTTGAGATAGTTACAGTGTACAATCAAAGACAGTAAGATGAGCATGTGAAACACGTCCAAAACTTCTTTACAAGTATGGCAGCTAGAGAGTGTCTCAAGAAACGTCTTTAACCTAGTCTCTGTATATTTTCATATCATCTCAAATTCATAAGTCATGCCACCAGACTATAGTCGTTGTTATTTTAAGAAGTCCAGCATGTGCCTTTCTGGTTTTACGCTTCAAATTTAAATCAATTGGTTTCATTCAATTGGAATAAACTTTGTGGCTGAATTTCTTTTACTTAACCTTTGCCTTATGCAAATTCATGATAATTTTGTTGTCCAAAGAGTGAATTATGTTAGCGTGATTTGTTACAAATAATCTTCATGTGAAGTCTCGGAGTATTTCCTTTGTGCATGACAAGAAGGGCAACTTTCTTTGGAAGCTTATGAGAGCTCCTAGTTGAGGACAGTGAGCAGTGGGCATAACAACACCAGTGCGTACAAGTGTCCCACTGTGATGTCAGTGGTCCTCCGTGCATGTAGTCCATAGCCTGGCTGCTCCGTAATAAGTGCTTAGAATCTGGTGCTCAATACTTTGTTGATGCCCTGGAATTATAAACTACATTTACACATGGGCGTTTCCCCACTTTGGAAATGTTTTAAACCATTGACACATCTAATAAACTAATCTGAGCCATCAGGGAAACTTCAAATATCTTTCTGAATTGACCTGACATCTTTTGGTTTGTATTTGTTTCTTTTCCCAGGGTATTCCAAGGCTTCGTCAACTGGGTATGGATGCTGGTGGCTTTGACTTTGAATCTAAAGACAAATACAGGTAACCAAAATATGATATATATGCAGAAAATTAAAGCTGAAACCTGCTGCAGATGCATGCAGCCAAGCCAACAAAATCACATTCTCAATTGGGACTTGTAAGGAGGAAATCTCAGATCTCTGAATGTTTGGGAGGACTGCTGTTTTAAATTGGAGCACCGGCTGTTGCCACATGGACACTGCCTATAGGAACACAAGGTGTCCGTGTTCTTGTCAAGTTCATTACAATTCCTCACAATCCACAAGTCCATCCCAATCTGTTACAAGTTCACAGACATGAATCACGTACAAGTCGCCCAATCAAAAGTCAACTGTTACAAAGACATTCCTTTGTTATTGTTGATCCTCTGTTAACTGTGACCAGACTCATGAATTGACTTGGGATAGACTTTGTGACTGGACATCTGAAGGACCTGACTATGACACTGCCAGGAATTGTTAAAAGGGACATGCATGTAGCTATGGATGAATGTGTACACCTACCATAGAGCTATACTAAATTACTAGAGCGCTAACTCCTCATTCTTGCATGCGGAGACGTTTTGAAGCCGCTCTGGGCGCAGACATTTTGAATTCATGTGTGTGCTTGTAGAACACAATCAAAATAGATGGATTGAATTTTAAAAGTGTACTCTAAACGCAATGCTCCAGTAGAACATATGAATACAAATTAAGCGCGTCACGACGGTTAAAAAAATGTCACAGCAAAAAGCATCTGCAGCGGATACGCGTGCGCATTGCGCTGTTTGCGTAGAGCAAAATGAAACGCTAATTTACTGATCATGCATTGCGTTTTTTGGCGTATCGGCTTCGGTAACGCACCTGTATGGAATACAAATGCAGATATGCAAATAACCGTACAAAAGCCGTACAAAATTTTTAGGTCTCCATAGGTTTGTGCACAAACATGGATGCGCCCAGCAGGCATCACTTTGTACACGAGTCAGCACTCTAGTAATTTAATATAGCTGTTTCCAGATTTGAACCAATTCCTCATCAAAAGGGAAGATACAATTACCTGCATTTTCCATACAAGATTCACTTGACAGACCATGCTTTGAGAGTTTGCATCATTTGTCTTTGTTCAATGGGACACTGGAGAGTGTGCCAAATTTACATTTGATTGTTGATAGCTGAACTTCGTGCTGGTTCTTCAAATAAAAAGCAATGGAAAGTCACCGTAGATACCAATTTTACTGTGATAATATATTTTTATTTTTTTTACTTTGACGGTTCAAATTTTACAGCTCCGATTCATGTTTTCTTTTATGAAATATCCTGGGGTTTTTGGTTAAATGAAGAGCACCACTTAATATGACATGATTGACTATGATCTTCTTTATGTTTTGCCATGTCTAGAGATGTAGCTTATCTTGGTACATGTGATGATGGATGTTATAAGCTGGCTGAGATGTTAGGATGGAAGGTAAGATTCAAGATATCTATCTAAGACATTAATTCACTGCCTCACTTGCTATGCACAGGGAGAATAACCTTTTCCACTAGATGATTGCACACACCCATCTGTACATATGGGGTACTTTAGACCAAAACCTCCCCCTTTTGTTTTCTCCTTTGTTTTCATTGAAATCGCAAATGCCAAAGCTTTCCACTTTTGTGGTACTGAGATTTCTGAAGACTGATTTGCAATTGAGGGATCACGTTGTTCCTAGTGTTGCTCTAGTAGTCCAAATACTGTACAGCTTGTCCCAAAGTCTTTTATTGTTCATTTACTTCATTTAGTTGCAAAAGTTTTAATGTGGAAGGAGTGATCCTGCACTATGTTGTTGTCATACATTGATTTTTTTTTTGTTTCTCTAAAACTGATTTAACACAGGATGACTTGGATAAGTTGATAAAATCTGGCCACGAACAAATTGATGGACAAAGTGCGGCATCACAACCCTCCAAAAAGCCTAGCGAAGGTGAGACTGATCAAGCAGAACCCTCAACCAAGGCGGAGTCTCCTTCAAAAGCAGAGGCTGCCAGCAAGTAGGTACCCAGCGATGAAGCAATGGAATATTTTGAGTGGCATATCAACCTTATATGACAAGCCTTTTTTGAGCATATGGGACAAAAATCAGATAAGCATTGTTAAGTTGTAATGTTCTCTTAAGATTTAAAGTAAAACGGGTTCAGGTTTAGCTTATTTTGTCAAAAACTAAATACCAGTGAACTTTATCAAAAAATAACAACTGCCGACTGCTTTAAAGCGGGACATGGAATTTTTAACATCCGAGGGGTACTTGTACCAAGGATGTTACAGATGCAATGCGCTACACCCAAACAGTCAACAGTTGTTGTTATATCATGTCTTTATTTTCCACTTGTCTTTCTTATCAAGCAACAAACCCCTTGCATCTAATGTCGCATCCAAGCGCAGGTGTTTTTCCTCTGTGATATGCATGGATACACACGTTGTACTTTTATTGTCACTGAATGTAAATGATATTGTTTCTCAGTTAGGAAGTACATGCAAGAGGTCTTTGTTGTGACTGCCAGTATGATGCGAGGATCACAATAGTTCCTCACATATTTGATATGAAGAGTAAGGCCAGAAGTCATTAAAAAATGTATCAAGGGCTATCTTTGGTAAGAACTTGAGGTGATTGTTTCCAGTGAATTTACAGTAACAGAGACACGATATGACAATCACCTGACCTATGACTTTTAACTTTATATGCAGCTAGCTGTGCATGTAAAGCTTCCAGATGGCCCCCGTTATATAATCCTGTTACTTAGGCTCTTTACTCTATTTCTAAAATTGTTTGGGAGCTTTGATTAGTCAAATGTTCTGTAACAAGTACAGATTTAGCATGATAGCTATGCAGAGGTTTCTGGAACTGGCCTAAAACTTGCAACCCAAAAATGGTGTTAACAAGGATTTTATTTATTAAGTGTGTGGAATAAGATTCACAGGGGAGTTACGAAATGTAACAAATATTGAATTTAATAACAACATATGATTTCACTGATCTTGGCAAGACACAATCAAGTCAAAAGTATTCGAACAATGATGCAGCATGTATGATATATATTTTACTTTTTCTAACTGCTTAATATATAACAACTATTAAATTGATAATCACCTATGACTTTTAACTTTATATGCAGCTAGCTGTGCATGTAAAGTTATTACTTAGGCTCTTTACTCTATGATTTCACTGATCTTGGCAAATTTCCATTTACTCAGCACACATTTCTGTTTAGAAAAGGTTAAATCAAGTCTTGTGATACATAGTTCAGTACATTTTCTTTTACTTGACATCATATATATTTTGTTACTAGTCTGAACATTAGAAATCCAAAACCTTAGAAATCAGCGATTTTATGTTTCACGTTTTTGGAAAGGATTAGAGCACAACAAGGATTTTTGTTAAATTATTTTTAAAAGGATTTTGAAGGAAAATGGTTAGGGATTCTTGTGACATTATTTGTTATTGCCATATATAATGTGGTTTGTAATAAATTGGACAGTAACTCTGATTAAGAACAATTATTAGGAATTAAAAAAATAGTGCAATGCAGTATAATTTTTAGAATAACAACTTATGAAGTGAGAATTTAATTTATGAATATGTTATCAGCAACCTGGTTGTAATATTGAGATTATTATTCTTTTTATGTATATTCATAAACAATAACCTTTTGCCAAGTTCATAAAAGGGCACCTTCATGCAGGAATTCCATGCCTGATGTCTTAAATTTACAGGTGGTAGATTAAATTACAAAGAATAAAATTTGATATTTATACAATCTGCTTGGCAATGTCAAAATTGTGTTCAAACAGACACACAGACTTGGATGGATGTGAATGATTCACATTTTCCTGTCAGATCCAAAGCACACGGCATCTTAAAGATGATACCCTGTGCTCTTAACAAATTTCAATGTGTATGTTTTGTTTTAACGAAAGAAAACCCCTACTTACGCGATTTTTGCTCTCTGCAACGCTCTGATAACGAATTTCCATTTTGCGCATACATGAATCCGCCCTGCCAGAGCCGAATTATTGTCGGGCCACAAATAATTCAAATTTTGTAATGATGTCTCATTCAAAAGTGAATAACTTTTATATAGCTAGGAAGATAGCACAGGGAATGCATCTTTAAAGTTTATAAGTCTTAACAGGACCCCTTTCGGCTTGTTGTTATAAAGTTAAAATAATTACGGGAAAGAATGACGATGCCACATAGACTGAGGTCAACTTTTTCTATTTGTTTTTTTTTAGCCATGTTAAAATAAAGACAAGGAAAATATATGGGCAACGAAGGTAAATTTAGAATCAATAAAAACATTAATTAAACAGAAAAGGAGAGCATAATATTAATAAAAACCACATGGATATTGCAAAGGCGAGTTGTAATTGGCTTCAAAACAAACAAAATCTGTAAATTTTCTAGTACTTGATAACCCCTACTAACCAATACAAATGGACAGATAACACTAAAAAATGAATGTGAAAATGTAAATCAAGAATATGGAAAAAAACATATATTTATACAGTAATTGATTGAAAAGCAATAAGAATATTACCCTTTAATTAAATTAAATCAACACCAGAGCTCAATACACCCCCCCCCTACACCCCGCGAGGGAAGTTCTCCTGCCAATACCAATAAATAATGACGGCACTACAATAACAGAATTGTAATAGTAAATTCGTAACAATCACACCAACTTTAACTTTGTAAAAGAAGCATACATAGGCATATCATTGTGTTAATTGTGCATATACTGCCAATACAAACAATAACCACGGCAAACCGTATGAATTAGTAACAATCAAACCTAACTATAAAAGAAGCATTCACAGACATTGTGTACAATGCGCATATACACGGCAGGCGGAAACAGGGTGACCCCAAAATGTTGTGCAAGCAGATATCGTTAAATTTAATGTTCCTAACATGAGTATTTCATTTTGGTGGAGCATATTAATTGTTGTGTATAATCAGTGAAAATGTCATGGAAACCCATTCATGCAACCAGAGCCGTAACAGATTATAAAAGGATGTGTGCTTTTCAACAATTCCAATTGGAATTACACATTGCATTGGAATCGCTCAACCGGCACCCCACAATGGGTCTTTTCATTAAATGTGTAAATCACATTGGAACTGGTGAACAACACATTACCATCTGTAATCTGTTGTATCTCTTGTTTGCATGAATGGATTTTCATCAAATTTTTGCTGCGATTATACAAAGGAGTACAAACAATATACTCCATCAACATGAAATGCTTATGTTGGATACTTTTTTTTATAGAAATGTAAAGATGTCTGTTTGCACAACTTTTTGGGGTCACCCTCTATAGTAACCTAAGGCACTGCAGTATCTGTAAGCTGTCATAGAAATTAGCAACTGCAGTAACTTAAGCATAAAAGTAGAAATAGTATTCACAAACATTTCCTCGTATACATGTGCCTACAACATACAGTGGTTCTGAAATATGAAACCGCAATCTACGGAACTGCAATAATTGAAAGCTGTATAGTTGTACCAACTACACTCACAAGAAATACATAACAAGGCACTGCAATTGCAATGAAAATGTAAGTCGTAATGGAAATTCAAAATTGTCACACAAATTAAACTTAGAGGAAATGAAATATTATTTATAGGCGTGCATATTTTGTTGAAAATATATAGGCCCACATGTAAACAGCAGGTCAACTGGGAAATACACCTTCCACTGTGCATCCGAGGGCAGGGTACACTGCTCCCTCCTCCAAAAAAAATATATAATAATAAAATAATAAGCATCTTTAAAAAATTAACTTCGCAAGCCAGGGCAGTCTTACGCCCTATAAGAAGCCATGGGCAAACCAAGTCCGAATCTTTAATATTTGAACACTCATCGTCAGCCTATCAGATCTCTGCATAGACTTTGTGATGATTTCCTATTCAGGTCTGGAATGATTCAGGTCTGAAATTTACAGGGTCGACTTTTTAGCCAATAGGTGCCGGAGAGCATTTACAGAACGCCACAGCGCGCTGTCATTTTATCTGGTATGTGGTCAATTCTTTTGTAAAAAGCGATCTGATTGGTCAGAAATTATGCCAGTCCATAGTTGGAAGTGTTCATAAATATTTAATCCGCGAGGTCAATATATAGGAACGATGACTGTGGACTTTGTTACGTAATGTACATGAATAGGCTAGTTTCAAAGGCACATGTTATATCCAAATGATGTCAAAATTGGGGATAAAATGACCTGTTTACATGAAGATTGTAGTTTTTGGATAGGAATATAATTTTTTTTTATAGATCGAATTTTCTTTCAATGGTTTTGTTTATTCATTGGTTTCAATTGCTCCTTATTGATGCTGCATTTTCAGCCGACCATCTTGGATTAGCGTCATGAGTACTAGGCCCTAGAACGTACAACCCACCTACTTGCGACCAAGAGCAAATCTAATTTGGTCAGTTTTGTGTTTCATTTCCTCCTCCGAAGGGCAATCGATTATGTCGGCAAATTCATTGACAAACTTACTGCCATATTGAGACGGGATTTTCTTGTAGTTTTCGGCGGAAAAGATCTGTTTCTGTAGAGTACAGGGGACCTGAATGACGCTGAACAAAGCATCGGAACTCCTCATATCTGACCTAACACTCGGGCCCGCGCCCGTCATTGATTCTGAGTGCGATGCCTCCATTTCTGACAACTTCAAAATCTCCGTCTGCTCCACGCTCTCCAGAACGGCTTCAATGCCTCTTCCCACTCTTATCCCAGCAATATCCATCCACTTACGTTGTATCAATGCAACAACCACTTTTAAACTAAAAAATGCGCTTTGAAGCTGTAAGCAAGCGTCAATGTCTCTGTGCCACTGCGTTGCAATCATTATATAGTTATAAATTGAGATGATGCCGCAGAAGATAGCAACAATGAAACAGATGAGCGCTGCTACACCAGAGAAGACAGACCCAGCATCCACTGCGGCCTGTTAAATAAAAATAATTATCATCACTAGCTGAGACAAATTCACAAAATCTATGAATATCGCGACACCAAAAAGAAACCAATCCCCATACTGCACTTTATAATTATGACGTGCTTAATTCACACGTCACAATCATGCTTGTGGAAAGTGAAGGGGTTGGTTTTATATAATCTTAAGTTCAGGGGACATCCCCATGGGCGTCGCCAAATAATAAGAATTAAAGTAACGGGTTCTTATATAGTGCTTTTAACTAAGATCAAAGCGCTTTTTACATCATTATTACCCCTGCTGTTCATTGGGCCAATTAAATATTCCAAATACCATCTCAGCTCCCTGGGGAGTATAAAGCTCGATGCTGCCATTTCGGCGCAAAGCAGCTACAATCGACCACAATACTCTGCCCTTACAGGTACCCATTTACTCCTGGGTGGAGAGAAGCAATGAGTGACAAAGTGCCTTGCCCAAGGGCACACGCACCATGACCCAGTAGCGTATCCAGGTTTGAATGTCGGAGGGGGGGGGGGGGACAACCGCACATCCGCGCCGAAATGCAGACAGGCTCCGCAATGGATTCCAACCCTATTTCAAGTGCCCATACCATCGATTGTCACATTTTGTCTTTTCATCACAAAGCAAAAAACGTACACCACATTTTGCACACAATCGGCCTGCCGTTAGGCCTGCGAAATCGTGGTCTTATTTGGTCTTAAAAGTAATAAGGAGTCGCAGATTTCGGGGATTTTGATTCCCACCTTTGGGGGGGGGGGGGAGGCTTTTGTTCACTTACAAAGCACTTACCAAGTAAGTAGATGCAGGTGTGAGATCACAAATGTTTAGATATACAAAGATAAAAGCGAAGGAAAGACATGCGAAGTGGATTCCGACGCCCTATGAGAGAAAAAAAACCATAAATCCGTAGTAACACACTATGATTGAGGTCCTTGATAATTGAATCTATAAACTCCAGACCTTTTGTCTTTTTTACCCTTCAAAAACGTCTGATAAACATCAGAACATCTTCATAAGGTATAAAACCTCTAAGAAAAATAAATGTGGTTTAAACAAGTTTCTGACTTTGAAGGCGTAATACGACGGAATATGTTGAATTGTAGACTACTGCATGCAATGGTAACATGAGAGACGGATCATACACACAAGGATCAAAGAGGCACTAGGTTATGAAGTCCCCCAAAACTTCATGTTTTGGATTTACTTATCCTATTTCAAACATCTGGTTGAAAAGAAACCAACCTAACGTCTTACCGTTCCGAAAAAAATACGAAAACTAGAAATTGCGTTTGTGGACAAACACAAGCTGTTTCGGATGTTTGAAATACTCTGTGCACGTGATGAACAACTACTGACGTCACTACAAATGTCGTCTATAACAGCATATTATACGTACATGTCAAGTTTCAACCAAATGGAACATATATATTTCTGTAGCTATAGGCTTGAAAAAAATGCCCCTTTAAGGGATGTCACATGACATTTGATGATGACATTACTTGAATTTTCATCTATAACACAACTCAGTATGGGTACCAATCAAGTTTCCACCCAATCGTACTTGTACTTCAAAAGTTACAGCGATTTGCAAAATGCACATTTAAGATGCCGTCACGTGACACATGACGTCATCGTCACAAAATTATCAGGGACCATCTTCGGTTGACGAGTGATAACTACATAACAATGTTAACGCCGAAAACAATATCTTTAGCTTTGAAATGAACTATGAAATGTCGCTTTTGTTTCATCGGTTCGGGACCACGTCTCAAATTTTGTTTAACGAAAGCCTAATTATCAAACGAAATTTGGGTAAACGGTGTTCTCCTCGAAATTTGACGTTTATTTCTCGGGTAAATACTTCACCTATGACGACAAAAACTGCACAATACCATCTGTTATATCCTGAAGTATTTTTTTTTTTAACAATTTTGGAACAATTATATCTTACATAAGAAGTAGTTTTGCTTACAGTTTTATGAATATTTCCGTTTTGGATGTCTTTGCAAAAAATGGCACACCTGGAAAATTCGCGATTAACATTCCCGTTATCCGGATGGAATATTGACTCTACACATTTTTATGTTTTATATTGTCCTGGCCACGTGGTAAACACACCCGGGGCCATCTATCGCCAGATCCTAGTATGGACCATAGTACGTCCTTCAGAGGGGGTGTCAGTCTTGTGATCCTACTGGAGGGGTTGAAAATTGGCGGGAAATCCCTGTGTGCTTGTGCACATTTACATAGGCTTATGTACAAATGCACTATAAACATTGGGATTATTTCGATCACCCCTGTGACCAAAATGGAATGTCAAATGGGGTTATGTCTGTGGTTTTAACGGCTGTTTGGGGCCTGAGAGATACTCCAGACATGCCAGAGGTTAATCGGGGGTGAATGGGCTGGTTGTGAGGGTCGGGTGGCTCAAATTACATGGTGTAGAGGCGATATTCCATACAGTCACTGGATAGTAAACATTAAAGGTGCTCGCTCCAGCAAGTGTTTTAAGGCAAGTCCGCTCGGTGCATTTTGTACTAGAGCTCAAAACAGTCGTTTAATCCTGGTGTGTAGGATCCGTGCATGAGAAGACATTTACCTTGAGTAGCCTCGTTAAGCTAAACGATGAAGCCACGTTTGATTTGGCAGACTGAGAAACCGTGACAACACCATCATTAACTTTATCATTTCCCGGTGAACATGTCTTGATCAACATGGCAACACCAATAAGAATCACGATGATTGCTCCCAATGCGTAAGCGAGGATCGACTGGACATCCTGGAAATCCTGTTGAGAGAGCTAGAGACAAAGACTATGAGGAGTGGCAGGTCTTTGACCACAGTGATTGTTATCGCTTTTGCCTCTCCTATGCCCATCTTGTATGTGACGAAATAGAATTGGCATGAATAAATAATAATAATAATAATAATAATAACATCATCAAACATTATTTTCTTGTTTGATAACGTTTACGTTCCCAAAAGCTAGAGATAAACATTAACCAAAACAATGATAATACCGAAGACATAAAGCCTGCATGCCAAATTTTGGGAAAACGAAGGAGAAATGAAATTGAGACCCGAAATATAATAGAGCAACAATTTGTTCCCCTTTTTTTTTTTTTTCGTTCTTTCTTCTTTAGTTATTGCTTTGCTTTTATATATTTTCTGTTGTTTTTCCCTGTTTCCTTTTACAGCTGTTTCAGGTCTCTATAATGTCACTGCATTCAACTGATTTTAAAGGATTTTCGAGTTGCTCGTTCATGCAACAAAAAATTAACGTCAAAAAGTAAAGAGCATAAAATGGGTTATACATCGAAATACATGGACCAAGAAAACACTAATAAAAAGACTATCCACTAAATTGGCCTCTTACGCAAAAACAACTATAAAACCTTGCTATTTTCTAGTAACTCTCCTAAAATCGCTCGTATATTAGAATTGTTTCTATCAACTATTTCAGAAAAAAAATCCTATTTTATTAGAAACTATACCAATAACGTTTGTGGAACAATTTGTGGAACACAACGTATGTCAACCGGAAATTTTGAGAACTATATTCCTTTTGTTTCTTCAGAAGACAAAACTAAAACCAACGCGGAAAAACACTCGTGAATACACGTTGTTCCGATATAGGCTTTAGGAAAAAATTAAACAGAGACTTAACATACTTCTTCACAACGTGAAACCACATGTACCACAGTGGTATTCAATATGGTGAGAGTAATGACATTGCTGCTGTCGGAACGCATGAAGTTCAAGATGGCAATGGTCACCAGGATAGCAACCATGACAGCGAAAAATACAAGTGCCACCTGCACATGGATGGAAAAAGAGGATTCATTTAAGCTAGCTGCTGTACCGGATTTCGTTTTCCCTTGTTGTTTAGCATTTCCTTTGTCCTTTGACTAGTACGATAGTATTTCTATGTTAGAGGTTATTGCCATTTTGGTTGCGAACTTGGTTGCCTTTGATTTTTTTTCGCCATTTTTTATATTCACATCGCTAAGCTAGATTTTTCTTTTAAAGATATTAACAAGTTAACACACACTAGCCCTTTCAGTCAACTCTAAGCTTGATGATAGGAAGTATGCACGCCGTTTTCACAATAAACCTACCTCAGCTAGTCTTTTCTGTACTTTAGACTGTGTGTAATCACGAGCCAAACCACGAAGCATCTGTACTGTGGACGTACGCTGTCGAACATATTCACTTGCCGCCTTTTCTAAAAAGTTCAGGTGATCATCAAGGAGTCCCACAGAGTAAAATCCTAGGAACATCACAACAATAAAAGTCAACGGCGTTATAAAAAAAGAACGAGGATGACGACACCATAATGAGAAGAATAACAAAATTTGATTGAAATATATAGGCCTAGGCCTACTGAGAGCACAATGTGGTTAAAATGGTAATGTTACCCCATTGTTTGTATGGGGAAACTGTTGTGCAAATTGTATTTTTTTAAATAATAAAATGAAGAATTGCCTTTTGTATTCAAGATTTGAAATTGACCCAAAATTTTGGTTTTTCACTGGCATGTACACCAGCGAACCTCTCGCAAAATTCAAACCGGAAACAAACCGGTGATTTACCATATGAGTTATCTAGAGCTATGTCGTTTCGACGGAAATTCAAAAAGAAAATGTTACCGGTACTTGATGAGTAGCCTACATGGTAATACATGTATTTGGTTTACAAATGTCTTACCTTTTTCATTGATCTTTCCAGACCTTGCAAAGAACTTACAGCCATTCTTGAAGTCACGTTCTGATATTGTCACCTTTTCGATCGGTAAATCTTCCTGGAGACGCTGTTTCAGTTTCCCGGTGGAGAACATCTTCCAGAACTTCTTAAGACCTTCAAGACTTGTAAACCGCCAAACTACCCTCACGCATCCATCCCCTACAAATGTCGTCTCTGCATCACATTCCCGTAAGATGTCTTTCAACGACGTCATTCCAGGCTCATTTTCTTTCAGCATTTTTTTAATATTTTCCTGCAGTTTCCTTGTCTCTTCTTCGTCCCTCTTTCCTTCTTTAATTACGTAAAATTTCGCCGGCAAGTCTACTAAAATAAAAGAACAATACACTTTGACGTGAAAGTCTTCCGCGGTATTCGAGCGTTGATTTTGAGGGAAAACCTTAGCTTCAAAAAAACATATTCTTGGCTTCCAAACTATGCAAATGGTAAGATATACAATGTAAGCTTTAACAATGCGAACTGACAAAGTATTTAGACATTCCTCTGTAGATGTGAACAGTATATCGATATATTCTGAGCGGATTCCCCCAAATCCATTCTTTAATTACCATCCATTTATCGAGACAAACAAATACCATAAAATTAAGGATTATGTTTAAACCATTCAGGGGAAATTATGGATTATGTTTATACCATTCAGGGCATGGAGACATAGTGATATTTTATACTTACCATAATTAAACTTGTTTCCGACACTGATTCCATACGTAACAGGACTATTGACGTAATAATGATGATTGACGACAACAGGTGTAGGAGACTGTAGGCCTACTTCCTTTGATTCCTTCTGTTTCTCAGGAGTAGTGTCACTCCGATGCAAAACATTTTTTTGCCGACGCCTTGTATCTCGTCTTCGGATTTTTCGATTGGTTGCATCAATCTTTTGCTCTGTATTTTGGTTCATAAAAGATACAATTTATATGCAGCCGCAACTGGGGAAATGGTTAAAGGGGTACTGCGTCCTGAAAAGCGCCCAATTGAGCTACAATACGCGCTTTTCACGATATGATTTTATTTGGAAAGAATATTCAAAAGTAGGAAATATACGTCCACATAACCTAATAAAACGTCCACATAATACTTTAAAAAATGGCATTTTGTGTTATTCTTGAGAAAACCAATTTTGGAGGCCAACATTTCAATTTGACTCTCAAAAATCGAGCTGTCGAGTTGGGTGAAAGTCATGATTCCAGTCACATAGTAATATATGTTCCCTTTGAAAAAGTTTTACTAAAATGTGTTTGTGTTCATCCATTCGGTACATTATGAGCTAATTTCGTGAGCGTATCGTATAAAGAAACCCCTATGCGTGAATGGTACACTCCACGCATGCGTAGTATGTAGATCTCAAACAAGATGGCGGCCAATACTAAACCGAAAAAACCCGTCGTAGATTTCGAGCTGGAAACCACTTTTTAAGTAATTTTAACTTTAATTGATATGCAGAAGATGTTCATTATTGCCTTTTCTACCATATAAAGCTGTTTTTATTGTTCAAAAGTCTATACAAAATTTGTTGACGCTCATTTACGACCATTAAAACTTGTTGACGCTTGTTGACGCTTGTTGACGCGCTTTAGTAGGACCGGCTAATTCACATTAAAAAACAACCAGCTATTGTTTAGATAAATTGCCGCAGTTTTGTCAGTCTATAAACCGTATACCCGACCGCTCGGGCCGCGCTGCGGTACCGGTACATCGCATGCAGTGTTGGGAAGTGCGGCAGAGACTCGGACAATAAACGGTCGTGTATTCATACACTCAACCAAAAAAGAAAATCCCCCTTCCAATAAATTTTGCTCAACTCTAAAACTACTGAGCACCTCTCGCTCAAATAACGACAAATCTGTACAGAAGTTCATCAGCAATCCAGCCATAGTCTTTATTTGGCACAAAACGGTGATAATGTGTACGAACTTATGAAATATGACAAATATGATACTGAAAACAGTTGCACTGTTACAAAAGTGCAACTTTTTTCGGTACCACTAGTCGTAAATTGCATAATTTTGTACAAATTATCACTGTTTTCGGCAAAACAAAGAGTATGACTGGATTGCTACGGAATTTCTGTACCGATCAGTCGTAATTTTAGCAAGATTTGCCAAGCACTTTTTGACAAAAAGTTAGACAAAAAAGTATAGGGGGGGGGGACTTTCTTTTTTGGTTGAGTGTATATTTTGTGTACTGTCATGTGCTGAAAGTTCGAGTTTGAAAATCTAGTTTCAAACTGCTCCTATTTTAACCGGAATTAATTTTCTGGGCTGAAATTCGGACTTAGTATCCCATGCATAAAATACTTCAATTTGGGACCCGCGATCAACACACCTAATTGGAAATTGCTAGTTTTTAGGTAACATCCATTTCGTGATAACCTTGTGTATTCACCTATTGAAATTGCCCTGTGGAGATGTATACAATCTTTGGTTCCCTATTAGACACATGTCTCCCGTGTATGTCATTCAGATCAAATTCCTCGTCCAAGAGGGGATCTAGTATATATGCCTATGCCAGAAAATGTCCGCCGCGCCAGTAAGTAAACAACATGTTTTTTGTTTTCCCAGGAACGGTGCGACATTTGGTTAGTTAACCCTTTCAACTAGACCTTTGAAATAGGATTAATAAACAATCTAAAACATACAATTTTCAGCGATTTCGGGACATGTGATGATGTTCCCTTTAACATGTGTAGATAATAATTTATCAATCGAAAGTTTCATCTAAGTTTGATCTAACACTTACCTGATTTTCTCTTCAACTTTAACTCCGATTCCATCTTTAAATGTTGAGACTGCTCCAAAGACTACTGTACTTGTTCTGCAATTGCAGCAGAAATAATGCATATCATTTAGGGAGCTAGTATATTATTTTGGCTTTCACACAACAGAAATTACGCACTAATGATTGTTGTCGAGTCCTACACCAGAAACCTGAAACCATATTCCTTGTGTACAAGCATTATATTCACGAACAATAGATGTCCACATAAATCAGGTAGCAGCGACGTTGTGTGGACTTGCCCACGTCCACACAAGGTTTTCCCCGGTCTTGAAAACAGGTTAAGAGGCATTTTTAGGTTAGGTTTATCTGTGGCAAAATGAAGAGAAACACTAAAGGGAATCATAGAAAACAAATTGGGTTGAAAGAGTTTTCACAGTTTGAGTAAAACGAGTTTTTTCCCTGTTTTTGTTCTTAACTACACGAAAACAAAGGAATGTCCACACTAGACAAACGTGTGTGTGTGTGTGGGGGTGTTGTTGGTTTGTTAGTAGAGTTTTTCTAGAACCGCAGATCGAGTGTGATTTTGCCTTAAATAAACCAATAGCGCTCTTTGTCCTCATTGTTTTGGGGGGTTTTGTTTGGCGACGAGAGGACCAGGTATCCAGATTTGCATGGCTCACGCTACAGTACCATCAATCGCACCTTCATCCAGCAGCGCAACCAGGATGAGAATCCTAGGGGGGGGGGGGGGGGGGGGGAGTGGCGGGGGGGGGGAATGTTACAGTGTGGTGGGGTGCCCAATTTCATCCGTGCTGAATCTTGGTTTTGTTCACCGGCCGGAGACCCGGCCTCCATTAAATTAAATACTGTTCAAAACCGACATCATGGTCAATGTTAGACAATAAAGGTGGCGCTATTCCACTTATACGGGACGTAACAATACTCAATCGATCTCGAAAAACGGAGTTCTGGTGTATAGGACTGTGATTTTCTCCGGTGGCCAAATTTCCAGTGGGGGGGGGGGGGGGGGGGGAACGGGGGGGGGGGGAGAGACGATCCACCGCTACGCCGCTGCCTGCAACATATTCTCATACATTGCCCTTCACATTTCGCCGTTACTCAAGCATGTCAAATCAAAGCGCATGAAACTTTAACTTTCGTAAAGCGGATATCCACAACCTTCAGATGACCCAACAGTGCTACCCTGGTTCTTACTGCACTAGAGGGCAGTGAAGGCGACATCAGACTGTTACGAAGCTGCTTCGCTCTTCCACGACCTTGTTGAATCCGCCATCATAGATGTTCTTCGACCACGCCGCCCCCTCCATGGTTTGACGGAGAAGTAAAACAGGCTTTAAAAACCAAGGAAAGGGCTTTTAGGACCTAACGTGCCAATCCCTCCCCTGAGAACATTCATGCTCTCAAGTTGGCATGATCGTCTTTCAAACAACTGGGAAGGAAGAAGTATGGAGAATATTTGCAGACATTAAGTGAGGACTTAGAGAAGAACCCAAAACGATTTTGGAGCTTTGTGAAGACAAGATCTCGCCAGCATACACTGCCACCAATTCCTCATAAATGAAACAAACGGTAGACACGAATTCAGCCAGTAAAGCAGCACTTTTGATGGAACATTTCCAAAGCATCTGCCTCACATCTTCCCAGGACAACAATATCTTATCAGACACTCAACCAGCGTGTTTGAACTCCATGCCACCCATTTATATAGACAGTATGTACTACCATAGAGCGTGAACTTATGGACATCGGCACTTTCAAAGCTTGTGGCCCAGACAATCTACCCGGATTTGTTTGAAGTCGTGCTTCCGTCTTGTGTAGCCCACTGTCTTATCCTTTTCAAAGATCTCAACACGGAGGACAGATTCCTTCGTGCTGGAAACTTGCTAACATTGTTGCCTTCTAAGGGTTTTGGGGGTTGGTTTTCATATTCCTCGTTCATATCAGAACTCTCTATACCATATTGGGAAATAGGTACTGAAAACAAATTATCCGAAATTTTAGGGCCAGTTTGTTTTCATGGCGGGGGGGGGGGGGGGGAGGCACTTTATGCTAGTGGAGGAACATTTATGGCCGCTAGAGGGGCAATTGGGTAAATATTGGGGCAAGTGCCTCCAGCTCTTCCCCCCTCCGGTTTCGCCGCCCCTGCCTGTAAATGGCGGGTCTCCGCTGTTGGTAAATAAATAAATAAAATAAATAAATAAAATCACCAGGGAGTCGAGTCCAGTGCTTATGATCACAACTTACTTCCGGGACCCATACACAAAAAGGCCTACACTAATAATGACTACAGTATTATAAACTTTGTGATTGCGTCATAATGTTCACGTAGGCCATTGGCACGCCTCGTATAATGAAATCATAGTAAATGACGAATTTTTCTCTACAGCAACAGGCATATTGCCGGTGAAGAAGTATTACCTTCAAACCGTTTGTCCCTCGCCTGCAGAGAATCCACCCTTTCTTGTCAGTGAGAATTACATACAACTCGGGAAATCCCCAAGCTGTGCAATGCAACATTCACGTACGGGTCACGCGACTATTTCAGGCTGAAACAGCCTGAAAGTTCACCCCCCTGATGGCGCACTTCTGGAACCTTGAATAGGAAAATTATTAACGTGCAAATAATTCTAAAAACAAAATTCGGTACATTGATTTCTTAAGATAATCGCCATCGAAAAAGGGCCTTTTTTTAAATTTATGAACACCGAACAATCGCAAAAATTGACCTCTAACTTCCGAAAATCTAAAATAAAAGTGGATTGTAGCAATGGTGCACTTTTCGCTCGTACCCCCCGCCCTGCAAACAGGACGCTGGGATACTCTGATGAGCTTCACAGAATCTTGTGAAGGAAATGACATATGACCTATGTATAAAGCATCTGGCTGCAGCTGTTCAAGACTGCATTTAGACAATGTGCTCAAATGCTATCCGAAACTTCCTATAGAATTGCACATATTCCATACCGGATGTGATTTCTGTTTCAATGCGGACCCTGTGGACAGCATTTTGAGCGTCGCATAATACAATCCGACCGTTCGTGATTCGAAACGGAGCCTGAGCGAGTAACGGGAATTGTAAATTTACAACACAGATAAGTTGTACAGAATTTCCTACATTATTACGCTTTTTCAACGAGAAAAAACATCTCTAAACTGGAATAAAAGAGTAATGAATCAGTCTTAACGGCC